ATGGCAGTTGTTAATTACTCTTCTGGGAAAATCTCATTTCTTTGGGAGTCTCCTCAGCAGAAGTCAAGGGACAGGACAGACCAGAAACCCAGATTTGGTCCATAGTACCTGCTAATAATGAAGTTAGAAAGTCATAAAACTAGCTTCCTCTCCCACATTCTTTCTCTGTATTCTTCTTCCTAAATTCATTCAAAAAGTACATTTTATTCCACAAAGGGTATGTTATTATGACACTGTCTGCAGATGAGCAGACATCAAGCTTCACTTGAGGGTTGCCTTTAGAAGAGAGGTGCCCTCAGGCACCTGGGTTCTTTGCATATTTCTGCCTTAGTTTCCAACCAATCCACCATCTGAGTGGCCAAAAAAGGGTCAGAGTCTCCAGCTCATCTATAGAACAAATATCTAGCATTTCTAATTCTCAGCTTTCAGTAGTTTGGGCACCCAGATTCCAAGAAAGAATCCAAGTCTCTTTCTCTAGGGCAACAAATCCTTTAAAGAATCAACTGTGATCCTGTTCTCTAATCCCTTATCAATAGAAACATAAACTGCATTTTCACCCATCTTATTCTCTTAGGTATTTACAGGATAAGCCATCACAAATAGGAACTAATATTAATGTGTTAATGTTTCACTCCTTCCAACTGAGATATTTTCATTTCAGCAAGGAGCCTTCAGATATATGACTTGACTCAAAAGAGCAGATCTAGCAAATACTACTGCACACTCTTAAAGGAGAGTATTTAGAGGCTCTTCAAATCGCTTGCCACACAAGTGGATGCCAGCTTTGCCCACATGAGAAACCAGCCCTGGTCAAATTCAGTTGTACACTGAGAGACCATGCATTTATCAAGCTCTGTTGTTTTAAAAGTTATCATGAGTTATTTCTGAAATCAAACAATATGGGACAAGATTGATGCCAAAGCCAGAAGCTGAATGATGATTCTGTACAACAGGTCACAATGTTCTGGGCTTTCCATCACTGACCAGGGCTCTTGTGCCCCAAGACAACCATGTGAACAGACAAACTTGGTGACTGGCAGTCTCATGTTGACCTCTTTATACCTCCAAACAAAAGACCCCTCATTATGAGATACTTACTTCAGTGACTGTCATCATTATAAATTGAGACATAGCTCCTGCTAGAAGGCAATTGGAACCAAGCCTTTCATTTCAGCTCCTAACCTTCAGTACTTTCTTTATATAGGATTTTTGAGAAGTGAGAAAAAAATGCTACTGTTGTAAAGTATCTGCTTATTCTAAGCTTTGTATTTTAAAGATGTGCATTTGGGACATGGCTCTTTACTTAGGTTAAAAATAAGATTGACCCTTTTCTATCATGAACCAGTCTTTAGAATTCTCACTAACAAGTAGCACTCAAGTATTGCCACTGAATGTGATCCAAGTTCCAGGGGAAGTGGATAAAATAAAGAATCACCTAAAAACTTGGATTGACCTTCATATTCATGCCCTTACCTGGGACTGATGGGACTACCTACCCATTCCTCATTAGGGCACATGCTTCCTTTCCTGAGTGGTTACAGATTTTCCACCTCATTAATCAGTTGTGACTAAGCCTCACTCACCACTGGTCCCAAGCAATCTCCATAGAGGCCTGGCAAAGGTGCAGTTAATGCTAATTTTGCCAGAGTGGGAAAATTCTCTTTCTCTGGAATTAAATAAAGCACTTGACATCCAGAACTCAAAATCTATTGCAGAATACAGAACTCCCCCTCTTCCATTTGTGGCAATCAGTGTCTTTACAATCTCCCTAGTACCTTCTTCTTTAACCATAGCAACTTGAGCAACTTCTTTGCCTGTTTAAACTGATTAAAATCAGATATGTATGTGTTGAATATGGTCAGGCCTGAAGCACTTGGTGGATCTTTATTGAATGGGACTGAATAGCTGAATTGGACAAAGGGACAAGTAGACCCACGGGTTGTTTTCCGTCTACAAGTGGCATGATCTGGGTGTAAGTAATGAGGGAGGGATGGATCCACTACAGGTGGGGAAGAGGTCAAGTCACCTGGCCATTGGGCAGGAGTGATGGGGCACACCAATGCTGTCATTTGATTTTAGCAGTTACCCCAGTGGAGCCTGTAAAAGAGGCACCTCCCTAGGGAGGCAGCAGGGATGGGTGGCAGCCTCCCCCAGGAAGCTCTTCCCTCAAAGCCACTAACTAGATAGACCAGTGTAGAGTGAAGCTTCTGCTGGAGTAATTCCTTCTCCTCAAGATACATCATTTGTTTTGTGTCATTAATTCATGTGATTTGGGTTTTTGGTTCTATTTTGTTATGTTTTCCTATGTGTTTTTGGTTTATTGCTTTTTACAGTTTTCTTAGTTTATGTTCAGAGATTAAAATGGATGTTCAATGTGATAGCTGAGTTCCTTGTTTCTTTCTTTTGCCCGTGGCTGACTGCATGCTCTCTGTTGATGTCTTGTTCCTGGTTCTTGACACCATCTTGTCTGTGAAAGGAAGCACTCCAGCGGGCTTGCTTGATCAGAAGAAAGGGAAGTTTGCTTGGTTTAGTCACTCCACAGAAACCCATGGTAATGTTCCCCTGTGCTCTATGTATATAAATGTGCATTGATACATACCAGACTGGGGGGGAGGGTATTTTTCTTGATGGCTTGTGATATAGTGGTCCTGAGTGAGTGAGTGAGTTTGTGTATGTGTGTGTGTCCATAAGGGGATGGTAATCTGCCCCACTCAAAACCACTACCTTATTATCTCTTCATATATATAAAGTCAGCAGACCTGACAATCAGCAGCAGCTATTCCTTGATAGAACCCTGATAGAACCCTTCCTTTGGATAGTACCAGCCAAGATTCGGGTCACTGGAAATGCCTACTTGGTACTAGTACAGGCAGTTCCTTGATTTAGAATATGATATGGCTCCTCCTTAAAACCCAGGCCCACCCACTCCTAATTTGGTTTCTTTCCAAGCTTAGCACCACCACCATCATACCACTCCAGTAGCATAAAAGGGGCTCTCTGGGAGCAAAGTGTCACAAAGTCAGAGTTCTTTAACTTTAAAGAATGATGCCTGAAGAGTTAAAGGAACCTTAGGTTAGAGATGGCCAGAGATAAATGAAGTGAAATACTGAAAGCTCTTCAACTGTATAACTTCTTTGTTAGTGTGGATGGAACAAGGAATCTGACAAACTCTGAAGGTGCTGCCAGTACTAAAACCAGGTTTGGCCTCACATACCAGCTCCCTCAGACCTCAGACTACAAAGGGAGTCTAAATGCTGTAAAATTCAACACCTCCATATGGCTATTCACCATGCTCCTTTGATACTTCCAGAACCTTATTTGGCTATAAGAACCCTGTCTTAGGGTATAGAGTAGGGAATCGGTCAACAGAGGAGCAATCCAGATGAGCATGGTGCAAGGGTCATGACATTTGTGCTCCCAACCAAGTCCTACTCCAAATCCACTGTGTAAACATGGGCATCCTCCCTTCCCTAAACTTTACTTTTCTGTTTTGTAAAGTGAAGGAAACAAGTTAGAGCTGGGTAATATCTAAAGTCTCATCCAATGACAACCTTCTTTGAAGTGGCATCTAGATTTCTTTTTACCCAACTGTATCAAAGTGAATCCTAGGGTGGAGAGGTCTCTCATACATGACAGTCAAACATATGGTAAGTTGTGGGTTTTCTATTTGTATCTTGCATGTTCCTGAAATGAGTCTCTTCTCACCCACCCATCTTGTCTTCATCCAAAAGAAAAGAACCTTGGAAGATTTCCATCCAACAACGTTATCCATATAACAAGTAGAAGCTTTTCCTGGGCTGTAGCAGCCCCGTGGTGATTTGTCACATGGTGCCACATCACCTGATGCCATACCCACATTAACTGCAGATTTTGTGGCTGCTGAAGGTTAGTGATTTTCTCACCACATGAGGAATTCTGTTCTGCAATAAGAACAGAACCAAGACCAATGCTATAATGGCCCCTCTGAAGAACAAGTGTTGCCAAAAATAAAACACATTGTTGTGTCATATTAAAAGGGTAAGAGATGGTGGAGAAGAATTCTCCTGAGCAAAACTTTTATTTGGAATTTAAAAAATAATAATAAAATAAATGGCTTCTCTAAGCCACCACACTGAGTTCCGCACTAGATAACTCCTGCTGCTCTGGAAATTCAGCCCACTGCTGCCTTGGGAAGAGAGTGTAGATTGACTGGACAGGTTGGAACCAGTGGAATTAGATGGTTTATATCCCAAGACAGCCTGTTCGGATGGGAACATCAGAATTACTGGAAGGGGAAATAATATCCTAATCTATCTGCAGTCTATCTTCAAGTCACCTTTAAATTTAATTGGTGGATTCCACACTTGTGCTCCTCACTCCTGGTATCTATAGTGCTAGTTTGAATCTTAGTACATGATTCTGTTAATAGCTATTTCAAGCTCCCTATTTCAGGTGTGGTCCTAGGTGCACCCAATGTGCACTACAAGAAAGGGGGAAGTCTTCCATATCCATCTAGTAGTTCATGAGGCAGCAAAAACACCCTTTCTACAAATAAGCTGGACCCTAAGTTTAGGGATGAACCCTCTTAGAATTGATGGGTGGGGAAAAAAAGCAAAATAAAATATTTTCATGAAAGCTCTTCTTATGGCTAGTAGTGGATGCAAATAGAAAAGCTATGCAAAGTTTTCTATTGTAGAAAAAGGTAGGAAAGGATTCAGTGGTCACTGTTTTCAAGAAGTAAATAATCTTAGCACCAGATTTCCTCCCAAATCCCACTAGTCTGAGTGTCCTTAGCAGCAAAACTTATTCTAGAGAAGCAGCAGGCATGTTGGTCAAGGAAACCCCCAAACTTGGCCATGGCAATGCTCACAGAAGCACCACTGCACCCCACTAGCAGAAGCTGCTTAGGCTTTCCTCCTCCCAAGCAGCACAGTCTTAGGATAGGGTGTTGTGCAAACTAATGCTCTTCTCTCCCCTTTTCCTTCCCACCCTCATGCCTTGCATCCCTTTGATTCTTATAGTGAGCATGCCCACAAGTGAGACGGAGTCTGTCAACACTGAAAACGTGGCTGGAGGTGACATCGAGGGAGAGAACTGCGGGGCCAGGCTGGCGTGAGTAGGCACGGCGAGCCCAGGGATTGGGGCTTTTCCAGGGGTGCGGGAAAGGATGCTGTGTCCTTAAATCACAATGGTTTGGCCCATTGTGGGCGAGGCAGAGGTCAAAGAAACATAAAACTCAGGTGGTGACTTGTGTGAGAAAAGACAGCTCTGGGTTGAGTATGGCTCCTAGGCAGGGGGAGGAGTCTTAACATTAAGGCCAGTCTCCATTCTGCACTCCTGTAAGGGTCTGACTCATGTATTTCAAGCCCCTGTCCATTATATCAGAGAAATATGAAGTGGTGGGGGTTAGATGTGGCTCCGAAGTCTGTTTCTTCCCAGCCTCTCTCACCCATGTCACATGAGACACTTATGTGAAGGTCCCTGGGTTCTGCTGGTAAATGTGACCTGGAAAAAGAGGAAACAGGTAAGAAAATAACCTGGGAGCTAATAAACATGTTGGTCCTTATCTGCAACTCTAGTTATCTACCTAGTGAAGGGAAACAGAGGGGCGCCTGGGTGGCCTGGTCGGTTAAGCGTCCGACTTTCGCTTAGGTCGTGATCTCGTGGTTCGTAGGTTCGAGCCCCGCGTCGGGCTCTGTGCTGACTACCAGCTCGGAGCCTGGAGCCTATTTCAGAGTCTGTATCTCCCTCTCTGTCTGACCCTCCCCTGCTCACGCTGTCTCTCTCTCTCCTAAAAATTAAAAAAAATAAAAAATAAGGGAAACAAATTCCTGAAGTGCAAACTTGAGTCAATACAGAATTCACCTGTTTAGGTTGGAACGTGGCCAGTCACCTCCAAAAGCAGCTCCAGCATAGATGTCCATAACTTCCCTTTCCCTGGGTCAGACCCCAGGCCCTAGGCTTTGGTGAGCTGACTGGCCCAGAACTGGGCCATGTGCACAGAGGAACAGTTCATACATGAATTATCACCAATACCCATCTTAGTATTATCTTAAAAATGGACACCAGTAGTGCCTGGGAAATGTTCCCCCATGAAAAAATGAAGGGTAAAAATAGTTTAACTGCTAAAAATAAGTAAACTGCTGGTTCTATTACCAGCATCTCAGCAGAGTCCAAAGATTAAAGTCATATTCTGTCAGGGATTCACATTGACCTTGGGCATGAGGCCTCATGGAACATTCAAGGTCTGCTTTGGGAAGTAGAACCTACTCTTCTTGTTGGCTTGGTGGTATAGGAACTGTAAACTCACCCCAGTCCCTGAAAGGCACTGCGTGCAGAAGGCTCTTAGTAGGACCAGTCCCAAGTAAAATGAGTTTCAAAATCGCTCTATCAGTGGAACAGTATCTTATTTCACCCTTCATTCCTGAAATGACTCAATGCTCTGAGCAAACCCCAACCCATTTAAAAAGATTCTCCATAGGTAAGTCTAAACAAACCATGCCAGGCTTGAGAATGGTCTCCAAGCCAAAGAGAAGGGAAAACAAGGCTTAGAAACAGACCAGCTCTTGCAACTTCTATTTCCAGGGTACACAGGGCCTTCAGTATCACTCACTCTGACAGTGGCACCAGGGAGTCTGCACTGCAGATTTCTCGGCATCATTGGGAAGCAATTATTGTCAAAATGTTGTTAAAATACGAGGCTAATTACATTTTTAAGCAGCAGTCCAAACCTTTCCCTCTTCTCCTTTTGGAACCATAGAAAGCAAGCACTTAAGTTATTGCAAATGGACCCCAGCAAACCGTCTAAGTCTGTCAGGCCTTTCTGTGGTCTTGACACCACAGAGGACCCTACAACTCTGGCTTTTGGGCATAGCCCAAGTTGCAGACGAGGAGGGACCCGGGGAGTTTCTAGCCCTAGGAAGTCATTTGAGAGTACATTTTAGGAGAGTATGTTGGCTCTGTTGGAGGGTGAATATGATTATCCTCCAGAGAAGGAAGCTGGCACCTCTAGTATATCTGTCATTTCCTTGAGGACATTGTCTGCGGGCTAGGAGAGCTCTGTAGAAATGGTCTTTATTATCCTTATGAATATCCACATTTATGCATCTACTCTGTGCCTATAAAATACCTAGACACAGTACCAGAACTATAATATATACCTAATAAATTATGGTCTTTCCCCCACCTCTCTACCCACCCCCACCCTACTCCCTGCCTTGGTCAACCATGGGATAAGACTGCCAACATTCTTGGTGGGAAACAGTGTGAGAACTGACTGGGGGCTTAGACTGAGTGTTATGGGAAGGAGACAGTGAGGGCCTAGCATTTTTAAAGCTAATAGTTAAAAGACTTGTGTAGTCAGATGAGGCCAGGATGAGAATTTATAGGTAGTGAGATGGCCTGATGAAGATGGTTCCTGAGAGGGTGGGGGCACAGAAAAAAAAAAAACTATAGTATGATATTTTTGGGAGGAGAGGGAGGTGATGAAAAAGAAGGAGCCATCAACGTTTGAAGACAGAAAACAGTAAGGATACTGAAGTAAAATTTGAACCAAGAGTCCATCAGAGGGACTTGCAGGTACCATGCAGGCAACAGGATGTAGAAGTCCAAGGTGCAGCTCTGAACAGGGATGGAGCCACACACTTGAGGTTATCAGTATAAAATCTATTAATGAGGGTATAGGACAGGGTTGTTCATAGATGAATAGAGGCAGAAGGCCAAGGACTGAACCTTGGGAACCGAACACACAGAAGAATAAGAAGAGGTAAATGAAACAAATGAAGAAATGTTAAGGGAAGAGACAGCAGCACTTTCCTGGAATCCATGGGAGAAAGAATTTCAAGAGAGAACTGTTTATTTGTATGTTCATTCAAAGTGTGCCCAGAGCTTGGTACTAAGTGATGGTGATACGTAGGATAGAAAAATTGATACCATCTCATTGGTGTTTATAATCTGTGTGGAAGTTACATTAAACAAGTGAATAAGTCACTATAAACAGGATAAGTGTTAAGAAGAAAAAGTAACTATAGTGTAGGGCTAATAACATGTTAGACTGACAACTTTTTTTAAGAATTAAATCTAAGCAGAGAACTGAAGGGCGAAAATACATTATTGAGGTTAAGAGTAAGGAAGAATGTTCCAGTCAAAGTCAACAGTGTGTTTCAAGGCTTTTGGATAGAAGAACTGGGAGGCCAGGGATACAGAAATGCTGAGGCATAGGAGCACATGTACCCCAATGTTCATAGCAGCACTCTCCACAATAGCTAAAACATGGAAAGGGCCTAAGTGTCCATCAACAGATGAATGGATCAAGAAGATGTGGTTTATCTATACCATGGAATACTACATGGC